CATAAAAAAAAAAAAAAAAAAACTAAAACATTTTGTGCACTCTTATCTACCTCTCAACTGAGTCACATGCCTGATCTTTTTTCCTTTCTTTTTCTACATCGGGCTTAGCACTAATAGTGTTTTATTACTTTACGTTGAGAACACGTAAGTGTTTTTCGCTGCAAAGCTGTTTCTGATTTTTATTCTGTAATATGAATCTACATTTGGAACTGTATTATGATTATTTTTTATATTTTAGTTATTTTTTATTAAATTTTCTCCACTGAAATTATGGTATAGACAAGGCAGTTTTAAAACTACAAATTATGGGAGAAAATTTTCCAAATAATTCAAATTTTTAAAATGACTCAAAATATTTTCTATATTAACACCCATTTCAATAGCTGTAATTTACTACCAGAAAAATGGTAAAATATCGCATTTTCTACGTGCCAAAAGTGCCGGAACTTCTTTGTGATTTGTCTTGGAGTCTAAAGGAAATCAATACACCAATAAAGATTTTTTTTCACCCTTGCCTTTTTGGTTTCATCACACATTCCTTGTACTTTAGTAAATCACTACAAAAGCCGAACTTCTGACTAGTTCTGGATCTTTTAGTTCTTAAAATAGTAGTGATACCCAGATGCTTAAAGATAGGTGAAGTAATGTAGAGTGTAATAAGCTAATATTTATATAAACATAGTTAATGGATATTGTTAGATCAGGAAAAAAATTTTTTTTGCTTTTTTTTAAATTCAATTAAAGTTTTTCAATTGAAATTTTATTTATTTGTCTCAAAGAACATCCAATGTTAAGAATGAATTTGGTTTATTATTTAGCGTGGATATTTGTCTTAAATTGTGAAGCAACGTTAGATATACATAAATGATAGTCTATAGGTAGACAAAATTTAAATTGTAGAGCGTTATCAAATTACATTTTAACAAAAAATTGTTTAACCTCTGTAAGTACAGTCCCTTTCGTTGTATAACCAATTTTGATTTTTTTTCTGAGAAAATTGCTGGCTCAATTTTAAATTTTTTTTTGAATTTATTCTTCTTATTCTAAAATACTTTAAATTTTTTTTTTTAAAATTTAGAAATTTGGAGGAATTTTTCTAAATTTATGCGTAAATTTTTTTTTACGAACGTAAAATTGACTTTTAAATGCAAATAAAAATTAATTTCAAAAAGCTGGAGAGAAGGTAAAAAAATGTGTTAAAATATACATCATAACAAGATAAAACAGAAAAAATTATTAAACTTAAGACAAAATTTGTAAAAATTATTATTAATAATTTTGTATTCTCCAAAGCCTATCGACTTAAGTGAACGGTATTGTTCAATACTATAAGATCAATATATGCAGTGGTGACTTCACTTACGGCCAAGTGGCCTCTCAGTCTCGTGGAACGCTCACGGCTGTTCCACGAGTCAGACTTTGAGCTCACAGCAGTTCTTTACTGACAGCAGACATACGAAAGGAAGCGTAAAAACTTTTGATTGAAATCACCATTCCAGTGCATTTTGGGTCTCCATATTGGTGACAACTTATGCTCGAACACTCTATACAACTATCTCACTCCTCGACAGATGGCAGAACTGAGCTATATCATCTTGTTCCACGGTTCGCCTTGATTCGATAAATAAATCTACAACGTCAAGCCTCGAACTGCACAGGAGTGGTGACTTCACTCACGGCCACGAGGCCTCTCAGTCTCGTGGAACGCTCACGGCTGTCCACGAGTCAGACTTCGAGCTCACAGGAGGGGGAGTGTGCGGCTGCCACTATATACAGTGAATTCGCGATAACTCGAATCTGATAGGACTGACGAAAAACTTCGACATATCGGAAGTTCGACTTACCGTTAGTTTCGGTTTTGGAATTTCAAAATAGTGTTGGATTATTTAATTAATGCTTATTAATTACAAATCTTCTAAATGCTTTCAATATTTAAGATCATTTTTCTGACAAGCCATTTACGATAAGACTGTTTGAAGCACTTTATGATACCCTGGTCCATCGGCTGCAACTTTGCTGTTGTGTTTGGCGGGAGAAACTGCAAGTTTACTGCTTTCAAATCAGGTTGATCACTATGCACTATCCATTAAGAGTATCACTTTTCTTTTTTTGGCGAAGAATTTCCGATCCAATTTTCTTACATAGTCTTCAAATAAAACTGATGTCATCCAAAACTTTTTGTTAGACTTGTAATCCACAAGATACGTTTTTATATTCTTGAAACATCGGGAGATTTCGATATTTTCCGATTTACAAGTAATGGCAATTTCTCTGACCCAGACGCATTTCCTTCAACTAGGACAGTCAAACGTTCCTTGCTCATTTTACCCCCTGAGCAGTTTTCATCCTTAAACATCATAGTCTTATTTGGAAGACATTTAAAAAATAAACCCATTTCATCAATATTGAAAACATCATTTTAACTGTATCCTTGAAGTTAATTTGGTAACGTTTCATTTAACCACTGTTCACATACTTCAAGAGGGACAGCTTTAGCTTCTCCATGAAGAGTGCAAAAGACATTATGTGTGTGTTGCAAAAGAAGGGGCAAGATATCAGCTCCTAGCTTTTTTTTCTTGCTTTAAAAGATTAAAAAAAAATCGAGTTACAGGGAGTAAAATTCGAGTAATCGAGAATAATTAGCATGAAATCGAAGATAAAAGGGCCGGGACCTCATAAAAAATCGAGTTATAGTAATATTCGAGTTATCGTACTTCGAGTTATAGCGAATTGACTGTATAAAGCTTTCTAACTCACCATGGACTGGGGGGGGGGGCGGTACACCCTTTTCTGTCGTGATCCGATTCATGATAGAAAATGGTGTCAACAGCATCCGACTACGACTCCAAAGGGTCTTGGTCCGAATCCTGCCGGCAGCCAACAAACATCTCTCGCGGACACTCTCTTCCTCAAGTAAAATAAAATGATGCCGTCACGAAAACCCTTCATGGTTTCCCCTCCGTAAATGGAATTTTAGCCTTTGACAAGTCTTCCATTGGAGTTCTTTATGTCAGAACTATTGTAGAGTCGGCCATTAACTAACAGTATAATATTTATCTATTATAATGGCTAGTCCTTTGTTTCGGAATTTAGGAGCGTGGTTAAACAGATAAATTGTAGTGGCGTTAGTAATGTAGAAAGTTATGGGTATATAACTAACAGTACATGCCGGTGTTTCTAACTCGTGTGAGTTCATAATTTAACATAAAAATTGTAGTAAGTCTTTACATTTTCATTTGTTTTTTCGTTCATAACCCTTATCTTTACATTCACAATTGTTTTTACCTTTTTAACTATCTGCATGAAACTTTTTCTATTACAAGTTTCTAGAAAAAGACTAAGTTTTCTTTTAATTGAAGTGCTAAGCATTGGGAGAGCATAATCAAACTAGTTCATTCATTTATTTTGTTCATTTTATTGATGAAAATGTTAAATATATATATATATATAACATCTAAAATAATAGCTTAATAAAATTAAAAGGATCTTAAAACTAAACATGAAAAGAATTATATTTTATTTGCAGATAAGCTTTTCTGATTGATGAGAACTTCAAATAATCTCTTTCACATAATTAACTAAACTCTTCGCGTATACATTAACTTTTATTGAATAGCGATGCAATCTTTATTTTTAAAATGAGTCCATACTGAGCAGTAAAATATATTAATGAAGCCAAATTCCCATTAAAATTAATAAATATTTTGAGATATTAATTCCTCCTCATCCGGTCGTATGATCTTACGGCGTCAATACCCAACAAAGAAGTCTGGATATTATAGATCACATGACATGAAAGTAACTATACGATAACATAGGAAAAGCGCGTTAGTTTTTTGGAAATGGTCTAGTAAATTTGTGTCCAGGAGCTCAGCTCCATGTATATAATTTGTAAATAGCTTTTTTAACTATTTTCCTCAATGAAACCCTAGAAAAATTATTATGTTGTCATCCTTATAAAAAGGTATATCAAATTACGACTGCAAATATTATAGACTGCGATATTATGATAAAAGAAATCATTACAGGATCAGGCATTACATATATACAATAACAAAAAATAAAAATAAGTAACAAAAAATCTGGTTGAATCACCTAAATATCATAACCCCTATGGGAAAGCACCATCAAGGGCTTATTTAACGTTAATTAAATTAGAAATTTAACTTAAGAATTAATAAGTTTGAGATTTTTTAACATTTTTATTTCATAATTAATAAACATTAATTATCTTAGCAATTTATTATAATAATTAATAAACTTTGATAATGTTAGAATTTTAATCTAATAATTAACATTAATTACATTGAAATTTTAATCTAGTGATTAACATTAATTATTTTAAAATTTTAATCTAATAATTTAAAAACATTGATTACATTAGAATTTTAATCTAATAATTTAAAAAGCATTAATTATTGGATTGTAATTTTGACATAATTATATAAACATAATTTATAAACCTTAATTATGTAAAAATTTTAACTAATGATTAACATTAATTATTTTAGAATTTTATCTAATGATTAACATTAATAGTTTTAGAATTTTAATCTAATAATTAAAAAAATATTAATTATTTGATTGTAATTCTGACATAATTACATGAACAAAATTTATAAACGTTAATTATGCTAAAATTCAAATTTATTAACTAATGAGCATTGTTTGAATTTAATACTTTGTTTTCGTTATTTTCTTCGAGGGAAAAGCATGCTTTCCGATTGAGAGGGCCACATGCACACTTTACTTTTTGCAGATTTTCTTAAAAAAATTTAGTTTATTTCTATGAGCTTCTTTACTAATTGTTCTTGTTCAAATGAAGAACTTAATAACCCCATGATGTAGTTGCTAAAACGGCCTTGTTATACGACAGCTAAAGGAAGGCAATCACCTTGAAGGCGCCTCGAACATAACTTCCTGAAGAGGAAGGAGTAAAAAAAAGAAGTAAAAGCAATAAAACAAGTAAAAACAATCATCTGTAAAGCATTGGGAAGCGACGTCGAGGACAGTACGTACATCTTATAATTCTAAGATCATTCATTCATTCTGAAATTGCAACGCCTTCAGAGAATTTAGAAAACACGTGGTTCTTGTGGCGTTTATTCTCGATTCTTGCGCAGCTTGCCCAACGGTAAATAAACGCATGTATACTGTTTTGGGTTTGCATCACTCATGTTTTCAGGAAGAAACTGGGACGAGTCTGCTGCTAAGATGTCGACTCATGCCGAAAAGCTAGCGGTAATTATTTTTTTCTCCTTTTTTCAATTGTTTTGAGAACTTTAAATGTGTGTATTTGTTTTAGCTTTAGTGAGTGAATTATATAAAATATTAATAACTTAGAAAAAAATGTTGAGCTCATAAGAAACTACGGATTTTTACTGAATACATTGAGGTTTTCTGGTTGAATGTGAATTATTGAAACTTGTGACTGGATATGAGTTTTTTATTTAATACTTATTAAGTAAGAAAGTATTTTTGTAATGGAGAAAGTGCAAGGGGGTGAAAAATATTTTTACATATGAGCATCGGAAATTTTAGAAACAATTTCAATGATTAAAGTTACTCTACTATCAGTTTTGGACAAATTTTTTTTTCAATGACGTAGAAATTTTAAAGTGTAAAGAAAAATCAGGCTTTATTTAATTTTTAAAAAAAGATTAAAAGAGAACATTCTGTTTTTTAAAATTAAATATCGAATTGGTAATACTAGCAAAACATTAAGCATCATTTAATATAATTATTCTAATAAAATGTTTTTTGCTATATGGACCTTTCTACAAATTTAAGGATAGTTAAAACCTAACATTTTCTAAAAAAATTTAAAGATAAATTTCTAAATTACTTCGGATGTTAGTTAATAATAATATATTATGAGCAGAGCATAAAAATATGTACTGTATTTTATTTTTGTATTTTTTAACACGCATTTGAATGGCATTTGCAAACAAGTGGGTTTATTAGCTCTCTTAATATATCCATCTTCAGATTATGGTATATTTTAGATACCTAATGNAAAAAAAAATAAAAATAAATTTCTAAATTACTTCGGATATTAGTTAATTATAATATATTATGAGCAGAGCATAAAAATATGTATTGTATTTTATTTTTGTATTTTTTAACACGCATTTGAATGGCATTTGCAAACAAGTGAGTTTATTAGCTCTCTTAATATATCCATCTTCAGATTATGGTATATTTTAGATACCTAATGATGAAATTAATCCCATTCTAATCTATGTACAGGGAACGAGAAAAAAAAAGACTACCCTGAATAATTTTTGATCTAATGATGGGATTTTCACGTTCTGGAACAAAATCTTAATGGCTCTAGGGAGTTACTTCAAATATTCTAATTAATAAGTGCTGACGATATTTTAAGTTACGAAATCAGACACAATCTCTGTATAAACATGCCTTTTTTTTGCAACTTATTTGAATTCCTGACCCCCAAAAATATAGGGGGTAGCCGCAATCTGGAAGAGATGATCCTAATAGTTAGGTCAGGAGAGCGGTTAAAAGTTTGAACCCCTTTATGTTAATGCTAATTTATGCGTATGTCTTCCTATTTCAATAACATCTTACAGCGAATCATATGTATTTTTTTAAAAATTCAATTATAAAGTTAATTTATTCAAAGATAATTTCATGCAAAAAATAACTTTTAATAAATATTTATTATTTTTTGTTATTTTATTTAATAATAGTCGAAAAAGTTTTGAATTGCAATGCATTTAATTTTTTACATAATTTTAAAGAAAACAATTTTACATCGCAGAATGCATATGTACCAATAGTTCATCTAAAAATGCAAATATACAAATAGTTCCTCAGATATCGAATTTTAAAAAAGTTGTATTTTTAAAATTCGACTTCTCAGGAACTATTCGTCCAATTTCGCCCAAATTTTGTATTTTGTCATGTGAAATTGCTTTGTTTTTAAAATGATGTAAAAAATTGTATACCTTTCAATTGAAAATTGTTTCAATGATTATTAAATAAAATAATAAAAAATAATAAATATTTATTAAGCATTATTATTTTTTGTGGTAAATTATTTTTGGATAAATGCATTTTATAATTGTGTGCAAAAATGTTGCAATTCGCTAATAAAGTTCTCAAGATATGGATACAGAATTAACATTAAGTGTCCAAAACTTTGGTCCAATCTGTTGATCAAATTATTGGGATTATATTTCCCAGATTGCGTCTGCTCCCTATATTTTCATAATCAAAAATCCAAATCAGTAAAAAAATGTATGATTTTTAGAGGAAGTACGTTTTTGTGTCAGATTTCCTTAACTTAAAATATCGTTTACACTGATTAATTAGCATATTTGAGGTCACCCCTTCGAATCATTAAGAATAAGCCCTAGAACGTGAAAATCCGATCATTAGACCAAAAGTTATTCAGAGTGGTCTGTTCTTTTTTTGACGCACTGTACGTCATTCATTTGTGAATGAGCAATCAGAATTTTTTGTGTTCTCCACTAGAGCAAGATCAGAGTTGAAACAAACACTTCGAAAAAAATTTTCCTGACTGAATATATGGAATTTTTCTGATTTTTGTAAACAGAGCATAAATTTTATAGTCACTTTTTCAGTTACGCCTCATTTTTGTACATAAAATATATCACAAAAGGTTATACTTGCTGTAAAAATAGAATAAGCAATTTAAAAAATATATTATAAAAATATCATAAAAATAGTATTAAGAAGCAAACGTTTATTTGACAAAAGAAATATCCGATTTTTAGGTAACTCAAACCAAATTATTTATCCTAACTTTTTGAGTATTTTATTTTAAAATCCTGATTTTTCCAGATTGATAAAATTTCATGACTTTTTCTTCGTCTCCCTGATTTCCCTGTTCTATGTTTATTTTAAATATATTTTATAGCTATAACTCTTAAAAATATATTCATAAATATGTCTCATAAATATAATTTATAGTTATAACTCTATGTTTACTCTCAAAAACTTGGATTTGTAAGAGTCATATCGATACACTATTAAAATTAAATTTATATTTTACCTTCATTTTTAACTCATGTTAATGACAAGAGTCACCTTGAAAATGTAGCGAATTTCGCTAAGTAATAACGACTTTTTTCAAGAACAGCAAATTGCATCTTGATTCAGAATAATATGTAAATAAGCTTGTGCTCCGACTGTGTTGCCACTATTGAAAATTTTAATTTGTTTAAAAAACAAAACTCTACCTTTTAGTCATGTATACGACAGAAAAGCTATGAAACAGAATATTATTCCACATTTGGGTTAAAGTTATGATTCGATTTTACTCTTTCGTTATTACTGCTTTTTATATGTTCATATTAATTGTCAGAGCATAGTTGGAATTCCAGAAGAAGTAAAGTGATTATGCTTAACCACGTGATTTAATTGGATACCTGTAAGTGACGTGTATGTTGTGTAAGCGTCTGTGTCGAATCTGATTGGCTTCTGAATCGATAAACGCCAGAAATTTCCTACGATGACGTCACTTGCAGGTATCCAATGGGATACCTGCAAGTGACGCAGTGTGGGTATTTCGATTCTAATTGGTTGTTGAAGGGTGGCATTTGTTTACGTCAGCAACTGTTCTTTCAATTCTATTTCGAGTAAGTCTAGCCCGTCAAGTATCAATTATCTTAAGTGATACATTCTATATTCTTTCACAAAGATTTAAATTTTTTCACTATATATTTCTTACTTAACCCAAAGAAAGGCACAAAGCCATGTAGAAAATGAAAAAAAAATAATTACGTATCGAAGTTGCCAGGTACACAGAACAAAAGTATATCACGGTTACAATAAAATACATAAGCAAATAATAAATCTAAGTTTAGTAAAAGACGTAGACGAGAAATAATCATATTTCAGCAAATTTGACGCGCGATACGGTGCTGTATTTATATAATTTCACGTTAATTGACATTCTAACTAATATAGAGAAGCTTAGCTCAACTTCAACATGCCATTTTGCTTATGAGCGATCATCTGGCGCTGACGTCATAGGTCACATGTGTGGGTATTCGTGATCTTCTTATAAATTTTTAGTTTTCCGTATAAATTCTCCAGAACACACAAAAAATATGGCCATTGGATAAAGGCATGTGGATGTGATTTCATGAAATTTTTTTTTTTGGTTAAGAATAAATTTTTTTTTGGTGTAAATTTTAAATTTAGCCTTGAGTTAAAGAAGTGTAAAAATATGGATAAAACAATTTTTTAATTGTTCTAAAAGTAACAAATATAACTTCTCGAAATACAAGTTTTCCCATATTTTTAAAATCACTTTTATCTTTTAATTAACAATAGAAAAAACTGATCGTAGCAATCAGTTAAAAAATACAACTATTGTGTTTAGTTTCTGAATTGGAAAAAATTCTATACGACGGGAATCAAGCATTATTTGTAATATTTTAAAATAATAAAAACCACAAGCATTTAAAAGCAAAATATCAATTTAGATTAATTGGATTTTCAGAGGAGTGCAAAAGCACCCACTTGACTGGCGGCGCTGAGTGGAAACCAATGAAATAATTTGAAGATTTCTTTCAATTCAGTTCAATTTTTGGTTAGAGAATCATTTAAAATTAATTTTTAAATCAGTTTTAAATCATCACTTGTTATTAGTGCACAATTTTCTTTCATTAGTTATATAACACAGAAAAAAAATTCTAATGTTATCTAGTTTTATTAAAGTCTTTAAAATAAATTATATCACTCAGTAGCTATATAAGTTGCAACATTAAGTTAAAAATAAACGAAGTTACATTTACATGATGGAACTTCTTTAATAGAAAAAAATTACAGTAATATAGGGTTTTATACAATGGTTACTTTTAATACATATTTTTAGAAATCTTGTATATAGTGTGTCAGGTTTCCATGTTAACCCCCCTCTGAGCCGAATGAGTTCGCTTAAACGTGTGGTGCTCTCTTTGGGAGTAGAGACGATGTTATATGGTGGAGTAAAGTTATTCTATGGAATGTTTACAATATTTGCTTTAGTTTGTCACCCTATCTAATTGATTAAAACTCATTTTAGTGTGTCTATACGATGATGCCTACGATAATTAAAACTTCTCCACAGAATTATCGTGAAAGAGCCTGATGTAGTGAATTAAAAAACAGAACATTACAGAACGTAACAGTAATATTAATTTGATGCTAAAAGCAGCAAATTAATATTTCTGTTATAAAATAGTTTACAAACTCTAACCAATCATTGT